CCCACCCAAATTTGCCCGCGGGGAAAAAAAAAGTTTTTTTTTTTTTTTTTTTTTTTTTTTTTTTTAACAGAGCAGAAAGATGAAATGAGGAGATAAAAGTGACAAAAGTTGAGATCTGAAAAGCCTTTGCTGTGAATACACTACACCCTAGACGCTGCATTATGGCCTGCAAATTCAGCTTTATCGTCTAATATACTGCACACTAAAGGTTATGCTAGATGTAGGCTTATTTTGTAAATTCTTGTGGGCTATTTGCAGATTGAATGATTAGTTAGATGGTTGCACTGTCTGCTAAAAAAGTTTTGAGTTTTTTTTTTTTTTTTGGAGGTCTTTTTTTTCTGTGCTTTTAGCCTTGAGGTCTTTTTGCCTTTCTTAGCTCATCACATCCCCTGCTTTGCCCCCTTTATCCCACACTTCTGCAGCTTGGTCAATCTAATTAGATGAGTGCAAGTCATCAGGCTCTGTTTAAAGCCATCAAAGGCAGCTCTGTTCCCTGCTGGGTGCCCACTGGCAGTGAGCAGAGAACAGTAAACGCAGTGTTGTCACTGCAACCCTCGAGACAGCCCAGCCCCTCCGCTTTCCGAGCCACCCACTGGCAGCCGCCGTGACATCATCACTCCATCCTGTGACCCTTGACCTGTCAGAATGTTTGACCCCATGCTTGGTCTCGCGACAGTAGTCTCACTATGTCAGGGCGACGTGGTAGGGGTCACGGTGTCACTGATGGGCACCAGGCATCGAGCTCCCACCCAGGGTGTGCAAGCAGGGGAGAAGTTTGGGTGTGAGGAGTTTGGAAATAAATTTGTCTCAATTTCCAAAGTTCTTTTGTACAAATCATGGTCTGTTGTGGCAGAATGTTGTTAATCCACACCACAACATATAAAAAGTGTTTCTCGGTGATATATTTTATTTTATTTTATTTTTTTCCTGGAAACAGCCACATTCTCTGTTTTTTATCTAATTTAATTTTTTTCTGTTAGATCAAGTGTTTTTTTTGTTTGTTTTTTTTTCCATAAAGTATAGCGATTCACTCCATTTCTTGTGTTGGTTGTATTAAGTCGTTTGTGGTGTTTGTGTGTCACTTTTTCCAAATCAAACCATATTTCATGTATTGTGAATTCATGTTTTCCAGATCCAGAGTGTGGCGACGTTCCCCTTTTGACTCCAGGAAGTAAAGAGATGATGTCCCAGGCTCTGAAAGCCACCTTCAGCGGCTTCACAAAAGAACAGCAAAGGCTGGGTATTCCCAAAGGTAAAGAGAGTCAGTTGCTCATTTGTGGAAATTTTATTTTCTAACTTGGGTCTTAGACTGTCAAAATCACATCACACACGTTTTTTTGTTTTTTTCACCCCCAAAACTTAATTTAATGCATTCTTTAAAAATGACTAATATTCCTACTCCACGCATTATGGTGCAAGCAGACTTTTCTTCTTGAACCGGTGGAAAATGATGAGTTTGCCCATAAACCCAGGCAACCACAAACAGAATTCATGCTGTTTGCAATCAGCCTTGCTGACAGTATTGCAATGTAATCCCACAATAACTGACAACTATTTTTTTTCTCTAATTTTCATTACCACTGTGGTTTATGTTCCTTTCCTCCTCTATGTTCTTTGTGACACTTTGCAGTTAGTAAGCACAACATCAGATCCACTCTATTGAATCAGTCACTGGTTTAGATGAATGTCTGCACATGCACTTTGAATGAGTTTCACAGTAAATATACCAATCATCAGCTATTTATTGCTCTGCAGATCCCCGACAGTGGACAGAAAACCATGTGGCTGAATGGCTTGCATGGACCATAAATGAGTTCAGCCTGAAGAACGTCGACTTTGAGAAATTCGGCATGAACGGTGCCAACCTGTGTGCGATGGGGAAGGAGCGCTTCTTGGACTTGGCACCTGACTTTGTGGGCGACATCCTGTGGGAACATTTAGAAATGCTCCAGAAAGGTAACGTTACAGTAATCTCAATGAGAAAACTAATATATCTTCTGTATTTGCTGTATGAAAAAAAAAAAAACAAACAAACAAAAAAAAAAAACAGGGGGATTTAATTTTTTTCTGTCTGAGGATTTCTGTGGCAATTACTTTAGTAACAGGAGCCAAACAGGAAGGCACGTTTTGGCTCAAGACATAAATTTTTGATCATGCTGGATGCAGTTACACGATAGAAAAAAAAAAGACAAAAAAAATCAATGATGAGGTCACTGACGCTTATTCTCTATCCATTTTTTATGAAGAGGATACAAAGCATTTCCCCATCAATGGACTGACCTCCAACTTCCAGGAATCCCGCTATACCTCAGACTATTTTGTCAGTAAGTACTCATCACAATCATTGTCAATCGTGCTCTCTAATTGCCAAATATGCATGCTTAAAAAATGATTGAAAGTGAATCAGCTTTGTGAATACAAACAGTTCAGTAATGCATTCATCCACATTAACATTGTAAATAACTCTAAATTTAGGTTCTGCTTCTAAACTCATGCCAAAGATCTACAGGGATTATTTTGTGCATTAAGTGATTCAGAAAATGTATCATTTTAGCAATGCACAAGAGGTATGCTGACTGTACTGCCCTTTGCTTCTTTTTATCCTTCTGTTTTACGTTTTGCTCTTGCTATCCCCATTAACTTGCCTCTGTGTTTTCAGGCTATGGTATTGAGCATGCTCAGTGTGTCCCTCCTTCTGAATACTCAGAACCGGGCTTCATCACGGAGTCATATCAGACGCTTCATCCCATCAGCTCTGAGGAACTGCTCACGCTCAAGTATGAAAGCGAATACCCCGGGATCATCCTACGAGACACAGCCCTCAACTCCATGCAGGGTGACTACTTCTCTGTCAAACAGGAAGTGGTGTCCCCCGACAATATGTGTGTGGGACGCCTCAGTCGAGGTGAGGAGCCGTATGTGATACAGTGCTTTGCGAAAGTATTCATACCCTCTACGCATGTCCTTGTTTTTGCGACGTTATGAGCACAAACTTTATTGTATGTTACTGAGAATTTGTTTCGGTAGAGTGGCACATAATAGGGTGTAGCTGTGAAGTGGAAAGAACATAGTTAAATGTTTTCAACATATTTTCTCAAAATAAAAATAAAAATAGCATGAAGCGTGGCATGCACTTGCATTTAGCCTCTTTTGCTGTGATACCTTGAAAGAAAATCTAATTCAAATGCCCTTGGATTCAAGGTAGGATGTTCCTTTATTGATCCACAAGTCAGGCATCACAGCAATAAAAACACAAATAAATGGCAAAGTAATGCGGTCTCAGAATAAACCCAGCTGTTCTATAAACACTTGTTACAAATATTAGTGAACGAACAGCATCATGAAAACCAATCGACACAGCAGACATGTTAAACTTAAAGTTTCAGAGTAGTTTAGAGCAGAGTTCTCTTCTAAACAATGCATGCAAAGCTTTAAACAAAACTGATTAGTTTGTTGGTGTAACAGGGAAATATGTGAAAAAGTTCAAGTGATTTGAATGGCTTTGCAAAAACATTTCCCTTATCCCAGGTAAATTCTTTCAGTGATTGAAAGTAGCAAACATTTCACGCCAAACGGAATATTTATTTTAAACCGAGTTATTAAACCTACCCATAGGTGCATGCATGCGTTTGTGTGAATGTGTGCAAACGTTGGAGGTGTCTGTGGGTGTCGGCCTGCGTGTGATTGTGCTGAAGCTACCAGAATCTTGTCATGCCACATCAGTGTGCACGCATTAGAAGAGAAGAAAAGCAGGCCCTCTGGTTGGTTTGTGGTTCATGCAAACCTGCCTCACATACTCTAGACTAGGTTGGGAAAAAAAAGAAAAGCCTATTGTTTTTGTCAGAGTGATACACGAACCAAAGCCACAATGTGTTCTCTGCTTACCGCTTGTCCCTTATGTAAAGCAGTTCAAGTGGTGTAACCTTAAAGAAGGACGTTTTTTTTTTTTTTTTTCTGTCTTGTTTTTCTTGGCCTCTTTTCCTCGATTCAGTCTCTATGTTCTGCGTAAGGAGATAGAAGTGTCATCCTCGGTTAGCAAGCAAGGGGTTTTCTCATGAAACGGTTTGCTTTTTTAAAATGTGCAGGCTTGTTTTCTCTCCCAAGTGATAGTTTACAGAGGACTTAGCATCGTGGTTTACATTTTAAGCCATGAAGAGAGAGGCTTTTCTTCTCACAAATCCCCAGCTGTATAAATGAATAGCATCTGCCATGTACACCATTGAACGCCTTCCCTACCCCCTCTGTTAGTCGTTTAAGCGTTTGCCTGCAAGATTTAAGGTTCAATCTTCACGCAACACGCATACCGCGCTCTCAAGCATTGTGTTGTGCTTGCTCGACGTGGGAAAGTGCTTTGTGTCCCGGCTGATATCCACATGTGGCTTCAATTTTACCAGCTGAAGATCTCGGCATCGGTTGAGGCATTGCATTATCTGTCATTTGTTAATGACTTACCATTCAAAGACGCCGCTTATCTTTCCCAGGGCCAAAAATAGCAAGACAGTTTGTGGGATTGTCTTCCATTTAGAATCAAATCCAAATGGTGGTTGTAAAAGCGAAATGGGGTGTGAAATGGAGAGAGTGGCATAACACAGAACTGTATGGCTTAGTGACACTCAAAGTTTCTACTTCTAGTGTGTTTTATTTGTGGCTTTTCTAACTTTTGCTCGTAAGTTGGCCGTTTTCCAGAGTTATTGCATTAAAACATTGAAATCAGAATTTTTTTTATGCAAAAGTATTATTTCTTCTTGAACTTTTTTACATTGTAACCTTCAGTGTTATTCCTGTAATACACCAACACAAAAATAGTACATCATTGGGAAAATGCATCACTTTCAATTTTAAGGAGAAAAAAAAAATAAAAAAATCTGAAAAGTGTGGCCTGCAGGTATATTCAGCCTCTGTTACTTTTACTCCTAAATAAAATGCATTGTAGCCAATTTTCCTCTGGAGGCATCCATATAGGTATATAACTTAATCCCAGTGTAGCTATAGCTGTAGATGGAATGGGCATTAGTCAATTACCAAGACACGCATGAGACACGACAGGAGTAAAGTTGTGGAGATGCTTAAATCACAGTTGTGGCATAAACCAATATTCCAAACATCTTACAGAGCACTGCTGCAAAGCAGAAAAGTTGGAATAAGAATGACCCTGAACATGCAGCCAGAGCTAATGTAATGGTTTAAATTATTGTATATTTAGTTGTTGGTTTGGACCAAAATCCAACTGAGAATCTGTGGCCAGGTTTTGAAATTGGTGTTTACACATGCTGTCCAAGAAATCTAACATTTATTTTGCTTTTATTAACCCTTTCTTAAAGACTACATACAAGAGAAAAAAAAATATAACTAAATATTATTATTGCTTTAAAGTCTCCTAATGTAGTAAAGTTAACCTTCGTCCTTAATGACAAATCTCTTCTCCCCCCCCCTTTCTTGTTCCAATGTCCTGCCAGGTAAGCTTGGTGGCCAGGACTCCTTTGAGAGCATCGATAGCTTTGAAAGCTGCGACCGACTGACCCAGTCGTGGAGCAGCCAATCCTCGTTCAGCAGCCTGCAGCGGGTACCGTCCTACGACAGCTTTGACTCGGAAGACTACCCCACCGCCTTGCATGGCCACAAGCCCAAGGGCACCTTCAAAGACTACGTGAGGGAGCGCTCCGACCTCAGCAAGGACAAGCCCGTCATCCCAGCGGCAGCGCTGGCGGGATACACAGGTAAGACGACCAGAAGTCGAACGTCAAATGGGACGATTCCGTTGCTTGAAAAATCTTCCGGGGGACACTTGGAAAGTTAGGCTTCAAACTATAAAATTTCACAAAAATAATTTCATTTTTCAATTAAAATTATAGCTTTATAAGGTAGTGCTTTTATGCCTTCGCCAGACTTCAAGTGAAAGAAAAGCTGTTGCTCCTTTTAGTTTCACTGCACAGCTGTAACACACTTGTTGATGCTCTGCAAAAGTCCCACGTGTGGGAGGTTTGTATTTGCACCACTTTTAGAATAGAAAGAGAGAGAGAGACACCTTTTACCCAAGTTGCCCAAGTTACTCAGATCAAAGAAAACAAAATAGATTTTGCTCCTGCCTCCTCCTCTTCCTCCTCCTCCTGCTTCTTCTTTGCTCTCTATTTTTCTTTCTCACCCTCTTGTTCTGCCTTCACTTCTCATCTACCTCATTGGTATCTCCAGCCCGCATCTAAACCTATTTTTCCAGGTCGTCCTAGCAACGGTGGTGAAGAAAAAAAAAAAAAAGAAATTATGCCTGCCCTTGCTCATAGCACTACAGCAAAATTATCTCTTCATCTTACTGAGGCATCTTCGCACCCGTACATGCTCGAAAAAGCTGCTTGACGTACGCTCTTCAGGTTCACTAAGATGTGGAGATACTCGCAAACCTCTAAAGCAAATGCACTATTTCTGCATCTGTTTCAGGTTTTGGTTTAAATTCTGCTCCTGTTGGCTTGAATTGTTAACCTGATGTGTGCAGCAAGATAAATAGATGTTTTATCATTGTTTTTGGTTGGTGCTGTCATTGCGTCGATTTAATCTCGATGTTTATTTCATAATACCTGAGGAGAAGTCTTGAACCGGTTTTCTCATTCGCTCCTCTGTAAAAGCAAGATTTTGAAGACCGTTGATAGCTTGCAGTGCAGACACTGCACCCCGGGACTTTTTTCTGTCCTGCTTAAAATTATGGTCACAAGAGTGCACCACTGTTTGTAATAAAAAAAAGGGGGAAATCCCAGCAAATGTTTCCAACGTCACAAACAATACATACATGAGATCTCATTAGACGGACCCACAGTCGGTATGCACAAGTTAATTCTTCATGTGCATGGTTATTAGTTCAAAAGCCACTTGTGGAACAATGAGTCATTCATTTGTAATGATGCTGGAAAGATCTTCTAATGGATTTATAATCAAATAACAAAGAGAAGATGCAGCTCCTCTAGAACCATCAGAGTCCCACGTTGCTCCTTGCAACCTTTTTGACGAAAAAAAAAATAAAAAATAGAAAGAAAACCCTTTGCAAAAATTTGGCTTTTATGGCATGATTATTTGTTTTTACAAAAAAATAAAATAAAATAAAAAATACAAGAAACAAAATAATTGTTGCTAAAATATTTATCAAGCAAGTTCTGTTTCAGGTGCAATGTGTTGTGTCATTTCAATCTAAAGAAAAAAAAAAAAAAGCTTTTGTCAGCTTTATAGTAGAATGCAAGGTGAAAGTACATTCACCAACCAACTGTTTTAGATACGCCTGCTCAGCAATTTTCTGGCAGCAACCCAGTGACTTTAGGAGTCACCACTTACTGAAGTTCAAAAAAGTTATCAGAAATGAGATTTAGTCAGTTTGAATTTGGCAGCGTTGTTAATTTTTGATAAAAATGTCTTCCGGTGTTAAATGCTCATTAGAATTTAAAGCTTATTGATCTTTGAGAATATGTTCTTGCATCATTATGCCATTACCATTGTATTACTTGAAAATGGTTAATTGTTTAAGACAATAACTTCCAGGACAATTTGTCGTCCAGTAAATTTTGCTGATCATTACAGGCCTATGCGCACATCATCTAATGAATGATTCTAACTCCACCAGGGCAACACACCATGTCTAAAATCTCAAATCATTTTAAAATAGTTACTTGAACATTGCAATGACTTCACCAATCAAGGTCTTGAGGCCCGGTGTCCTGCAACGTTTAGATGTGTCCCTGGTCCAACACACCTGAATCCAATAGCTGAATCATCCCCTCAATGCGCTGTCAACTTCTCCAGAGTCCTGTTAATGGCCTTATTATTTGGCTCTATTGTGTTAAAGCAGAAACACATCTTAAAGTTAGAGGCCACTAAACCTTGAGGCCCAGGTTTTGAAGACCCCATCTATTAGAGCATCTTTGAGATGTGGTGGAACAAGATATTTGCATCCTGGATGTGCAGAGGACAAATATGCAGTAACTGCATGCACCGAGTGTATAATATTCATGGTGCAATAGACCATCCTCTCCTGTAAAGAAATGGAAAGAAGTATTTTCCATGGCATGCTCTGATGATGGATGAAGTTAAATCCTACCAACGTGGAATTTATGTTTGCGTGTAGAGCCGTGTGCATATCCATGTCCTAACAAGGCAGATGGAGGACGTAAAAATCAAAAAGCAAGGCAAATGAGTTAGAAACGTAAAAAAGTGTAAGGAAAATCGAAGCTTATGTTTAGAATAAACAAACATTTCCAAAACAACGTTTATGATAACTCGACAAGTTGCTCTGCTTGGTTTCCTGTCTCGGTGTGACAGGTGACACTTACAGCGAGGACAGGGAGTCAGATAAGGCTGCTGAATGATAAGTGAAGCTCCAGTTGTCGTCTTTGCAGGTTTCCTGTGAGAGCTTGTTATTTACACCTCTGTCTGCTCTAACACCAGGCAGCTTTAAAAACTGCTAAACCCTCAATATTTTAATACTGATAACATGTGGATCTTTTTCTTTCTCTGCTGAAAGATGCTTTCCTTTTTTTTTTCTTTTTTTGCACTCCAACAATAAATTAGTCTTGCTCATAGTTTCACTAATAACTAAAAATGACATTAATGAAAAAACTCCATTTGTCTATTAGTGTCCCTGTGTCTGTCTTAGCTGCAAATATTTAACCCCTTAACTGCTGCCCGCAAATCGCTTACATATCTGTTACTGGGTCCAAGAGGTCACCAGCACCCTCATGACATTTAAGAGCTTTTTAAAGCACATATGGTGTACCATGAATTACATTCTAAAGACTGCTGCAAATGAAAGCCTCTACCCTTTTGCTACAGTGTATGCTCTTTCAATGAAGCTCTTTGTACATGAAGAGAGCAACATATTTTTGGAAACTTTTTTTTTTTTTTTTATGGAATGGATCGCTTGTGAGAGCACAGCGGGCTGGTATCAACCATGTATGTGGGCTGACTGCTACTTTGACTCAATTTTGAGCATTTTGGGCCTGAAAGACAGCCACTTCTTTCTAAATCCAAAGTGGCTGTTTGTTCTGCACCGTCTTCAGTCCCAGCAGGAGTTTTATAAAAAGCTCCCCGAAATGCCATTTCAAGCTTTCGGCCTACGCATCTGTTTCACTGAAAGCGTTGGTTTTGTGTTGTGTAAGGGCACATACGTTTTTTTTGTTTTTGTTTTTCTTTCTTACGCATTCGCGAGACACAGAGAGTGAGACAGATAGGTGAGTATAGCTAAACTGCTGAGGCGGCGTATGCTGCACAGGCAGGTGTGATTTCAACATACGAGCCTCAAAAGTGGGCGCGTTCCTCTATGTGAAGAAAACCACACGATCAAAGTGTAGCGCAGTGAATCTAGTTCATAGACAAAGCCTTTTTTTTTTTGATCCTCTTTGTTCTGCCTTTCCACCTTTTTCCATCAAGTGATACAAACTCTTGTATTAGTTTTTTGTTTAAAATAGGTTTTATTGGGTTACTATTTTAGTCCTTTTTCTTAAAAAATACAACCCTATTGTAGTATCTGTGAGGCTTTGGGAGCTGTTCTCTTCTTGAAGCACTGGTTGTAAGTCGTTAGATGTGCTCCAGAAGCCCAGAGGCAGCGCCTCTTTTTTTTAAAATGATGATTTCATCAGTAAGGAACTCATACAGACACAGACTCTAGATTCACATACTGTACGGGGCCAATGGCAGACAAGGGACTACATGATGAATGAGACTGTTGTATTTAGGAGGACATTTGCTTCCACTGCTTTCCTTCAGCCTGACCCAGATAGGAAGGTTTACTTTGTCCTTCTTCAGACCTAAGTGAATAATTGGCATGAATATTTAACAGTTTCACATTTAGGACTGGACTGTGTTATGTGTGGCATCCTGGTTGACCTTAAAATTTGTGTTTCCTTTCCTGGTGAGTGTATCTTGTACTGCAGTAAGTTGTGAAATCTCTGAAAGCAACATGTACCTCCAACTGTTCTTTAAGACCTTGGTTTGTATGCAGCATTACCATTCCATGGATGCAGGGCATTATTATTTAAATTGCAGAATTTTAACAACTTAAACCAGTTGGTAAGCTTCAGAACTTGGGGATGTTCCCGTAAGCCAGATCTCCTTTGGCCTGAGCTAACACTTACCTCAGTAAATCCTCACACCAGCCAGCATCAGCACAAGCAACAATGCCTTCTCTCCAAGTAAGCTGGCTAAACAAAACACCTCCTTCAAACATGCTCTCACATCTGTTCCACAGGCAGTGGCCCCATCCAGCTGTGGCAATTTCTCCTGGAGTTGCTGACCGACAAGTCCTGCCAGTCCTTCATCAGCTGGACAGGCGACGGCTGGGAGTTTAAGCTCTCTGACCCAGATGAGGTGAGAGGCTGTGACCCTGTTGGTCACTGGCACACGAGATGGGAGGTCCTAAGTGTTTGGCCAGATGAAAAAGATGTCTTATTTGTGAAAACAGTTGCCTATTGTTTCTGACTTCAGTAATTGTGTAGTGTGGTACTTAGGCTGGTCTATCACGAGTAGGTCCAATTTAAATACAGTATAAACTATGTAGTACCTGGCAAAAGTACTTTTTTCATGTTTTGTCACATGACAATTCCAGTTTAAGCAATTAGGTTTAACTGGGGTTGTATGACAGACCAACTCAAAACTCTACATATTTGTAAACTGGAAGGAATTATGCATGTTTTCAAAATTATTAACAAAAACCTCCCAAGACATTCTGTGATATCTCTGCCTGTAAGCTAGACTTTTTGCAGCCAGTCCATTTTCCCATAGTTCCACCAATCTTCCCATTAACTCTGACCAGCTTCCTCTCCCATGTTAGGATAAAATGACACCCTCAGCATGATGCTACCACTCCACAAGATTCCCAACAGGGTGGTTTGTTTGGGGCTGTGCAGTATTGTTTTTCTGTAACTCTCTGCATTTCTAACTTTGGTTTTATGTGACCAGAGTTGGTCCACATTTTGCTATTCTGGACAACTGATCCAATGGAGCTGTAAATCTCTACAGCTCCACCAGCTTTGCTCTAATTAATGTTTCCTTTGTCATGTTTTGCAGCTCAGATGGACAACCATGTTAAATTACATGCAACTGGGCTGAATATACTAGGGAGTTTACTAGTTAAGGTTGTTATTTACCCTATAATATATTTATGGTTGTCACAATAAAAATATACAGCTCTGAAAAAAAAATGAAGAGACCACTTAAAATGATCAGTTTTTTTTCTGATTTTACTTTTTATAGGTATATTTTTGAGTAAAATGAACATCGTTCTTTTATTCTGCGAACTACTGATAACATGTCTCTGAAATTCCAAGCAAAAATGTAGTATTTATTTGCAGAAAAAAAGAAATGGTCATAATGATAAAACAGATGCGGTGCTTTCAGACCGCAAATGATGCAAAGAAAACAAGTTCATATTCATTTAGCGTCAGCAATAATAAGGAAGAGTTCGGAAATCAATAGTTGGTAGAATAACCATGAGGTTTCCAATGGGGTTCACTTTGTGTCGATCTATCATATAAAATCTTTATCAAATACAGAGGTTTGTGATTGTAAGGCAGCAAAATCTGAACTTTTTTTTTTTTTCATAAGTCACTTTATTTTATTTTTTTTCTTATTTCGATATGCTCTTTCTTTCTCTCTGTGCAGGTTGCCCGGAGGTGGGGCAAAAGGAAAAACAAGCCCAAGATGAATTATGAGAAACTGAGCCGTGGCTTGCGCTATTATTATGACAAGAACATCATCCACAAGACGTCTGGGAAGCGCTATGTCTACCGCTTTGTCTGTGACTTGAAAAGCTTGCTGGGCTACACACCCGAAGAGCTGCACGCAATGTTGGACGTAAAGCCTGACACAGACGAGTGAAAGCAGAACTGGCGAAAAGAGCAAAAAGAAACTTAGGACAAAAGTTGAGCTACTGGGACTGAGGCTCATAACGTTGTCTTAACTGTTTGATAAGAGTTGGTTATCCATTTTTCTGGGGGGACCGAAAAGTTTTTAATGACTCAGTGATGGTCTTTGTTGGATTTGAGCTCCAGTCTTTCAGACCACGTTTTAAAAGGAAGGCAGAAGCCAAAAAAAACAAAACCTGTATTCACAACCTGTTGGAAATGACGAGTGTGCATGAATGTGTGAGTGAGTGTGGGATTGCGCGCGCGTCTGACATAATACTGGTATTATTTAGCAGCTCAAGGTAAATGAGACGCTACTGGGTAGAATTATCAGGTTATCTTGTGTTCTGTTTATGTAGCAACGAGGGGGAGGCGAGAGCTCTGCGATACAAGGTGTGAATGAACGAAGTCGAGAAGGAGCCTTTTTAAAGTAACTTGTTTCATTTTTGAGTTAAGCAACAAGCAGGTGAAAGGTTCCTGCTGAGATAACAGTTGCCAAAATGTCAAAACGGAACAGATATTTACAACCATTATCACTGTTTCTCTCCTGCAAGTGGAGAGCTTTCAGCAAGGACCAAAAAAAAAAAAAAAGTGTAATGTAGGATTTGATGTTTGAGGACCATATGCTTGTGCCAGTATTATATTGTTAGAGCACCCGATTTAAGTCCACCAGGCCGATCACTGGGCAGAGTATTTTTGTCTTTAAGTGTTTCAAATTAGACTTCATCATTGAATGCCAAGTTACACTGTTCTGTTCTCATAGCAGAAATGTGCCGATTTGAGTCAGACAACACTAGAGACGCACTGGCCCTGTGCTCTATCAGGTTTGAAGAGCCTGTTGGAGATTACTCATACCCAAAGAGGTCTGCAAGACAACCGAAAGAAGCCGTTACTTTTGAAACTGACGCTTTCACCTTTATGTACATGTCGCCACCTTGTTAGGGACACATTCTGTGACTGAAACGTATGCGTTTTTTGCATAATGCCTCCAGTATTAGCAAACTGTAGACAATCTACGTGGGGAGAATCAGTAGACGTTGGTGCAAATTAGATGAACAATCTTGTCGGTTCACTGTCCACATCAACCAATCATTTTAATGATGTTTTAATAGTCCTGTCTGTCTGTCCTGTAAAAGTTATTATACCGATTGGCAGGTTTTTAACGCAGCCATAAGAATGTCAAATGTGGGTCAATTTTTGTTTGTTATGCAGAACATTTTGTCCATAAGAAAGGAACTAGAGTAGTGTGATGGTATAACGTAAGAAAAAATAGAAAGGCAATAGACAAATGTTGACTTTAGAGAACGGGAACCTGTTTGTTATGAATGAAGGTCATGGAAAGAAGTACGTGGATAGCGCAGGTGAATTATCACTTAGGCAACAGAAAGGGCACAAGTTGATTTGTGTGGCTCTTGCATGGCTGATGGCAGACTATTCAGATTGTAGTTTATGTGCGTTTTTAATCAATGATCAAAAATAATATATGCCTCAGAGAGTGTCGTATTCTAAGAGCACATTTATAACAATTCACTGGTTACATTTTAGGCAAATTGGCAGCGGCTTCCTCCCCAAACAGTGGGAACAGTGTCAGTACACTGGGAAATGCCAAAGTTGAATATTATCCTAAAATACTATGTTATTGTTTACAGTGGCTGAATGTTACCCATATGGATGGAAATAGCTTTGGAGATGTCTATTTGTACAGATTGTATTTCATAATGCTTTACTGAGACCCGGATTACACAAATAATCAGGAGACAAAGCAGGAATAATAACCAAAACTCATGTGAGGTCTTTCGGCTACGGTGCTTTGGGTGTCTACAGCGTTTGACATGGAGCAGAAATTTCTCATGTATTTGGAAAGTGTTGTCTTTTATCTTTTTTTTTTTTTTTTTTTTTTNAAAATAAAAAATACAAGAAACAAAATAATTGTTGCTAAAATATTTATCAAGCAAGTTCTGTTTCAGGTGCAATGTGTTGTGTCATTTCAATCTGAAGAAAAAAAAAAAAAGCTTTTGTCAGCTTTATAGTAGAATGCAAGGTGAAAGTACATTCACCAACCAACTGTTTTAGATACGCCTGCTCAGCAATTTTCTGGCAGCAACCCAGTGACTTTAGGAGTCACCACTTACTGAAGTTCAAAAAAGTTATCAGAAATGAGATTTAGTCAGTTTGAATTTGGCAGCGTTGTTAATTTTTGATAAAAATGTCTTCCGGTGTTAAATGCTCATTAGAATTTAAAGCTTATTGATCTTTGAGAATATGTTCTTGCATCATTATGCCATTACCATTGTATTACTTGAAAATGGTTAATTGTTTAAGACAATAACTTCCAGGACAATTTGTCGTCCAGTAAATTTTGCTGATCATTACAGGCCTATGCGCACATCATCTAATGAATGATTCTAACTCCACCAGGGCAACACACCATGTCTAAAATCTCAAATCATTTTAAAATAGTTACTTGAACATTGCAATGACTTCACCAATCAAGGTCTTGAGGCCCGGTGTCCTGCAACGTTTAGATGTGTCCCTGGTCCAACACACCTGAATCCAATAGCTGAATCATCCCCTCAATGCGCTGTCAACTTCTCCAGAGTCCTGTTAATGGCCTTATTATTTGGCTCTATTGTGTTAAAGCAGAAACACATCTTAAAGTTAGAGGCCACTAAACCTTGAGGCCCAGGTTTTGAAGACCCCATCTATTAGAGCATCTTTGAGATGTGGTGGAACAAGATATTTGCATCCTGGATGTGCAGAGGACAAATATGCAGTAACTGCATGCACCGAGTGTATAATATTCATGGTGCAATAGACCATCCTCTCCTGTAAAGAAATGGAAAGAAGTATTTTCCATGGCATGCTCTGATGATGGATGAAGTTAAATCCTACCAACGTGGAATTTATGTTTGCGTGTAGAGCCGTGTGCATATCCATGTCCTAACAAGGCAGATGGAGGACGTAAAAATCAAAAAGCAAGGCAAATGAGTTAGAAACGTAAAAAAGTGTAAGGAAAATCGAAGCTTATGTTTAGAATAAACAAACATTTCCAAAACAACGTTTATGATAACTCGACAAGTTGCTCTGCTTGGTTTCCTGTCTCGGTGTGACAGGTGACACTTACAGCGAGGACAGGGAGTCAGATAAGGCTGCTGAATGATAAGTGAAGCTCCAGTTGTCGTCTTTGCAGGTTTCCTGTGAGAGCTTGTTATTTACACCTCTGTCTGCTCTAACACCAGGCAGCTTTAAAAACTGCTAAACCCTCAATATTTTAATACTGATAACATGTGGATCTTTTTCTTTCTCTGCTGAAAGATGCTTTCCTTTTTTTTTTCTTTTTTTGCACTCCAACAATAAATTAGTCTTGCTCATAGTTTCACTAATAACTAAAAATGACATTAATGAAAAAACTCCATTTGTCTATTAGTGTCCCTGTGTCTGTCTTAGCTGCAAATATTTAACCCCTTAACTGCTGCCCGCAAATCGCTTACATATCTGTTACTGGGTCCAAGAGGTCACCAGCACCCTCATGACATTTAAGAGCTTTTTAAAGCACATATGGTGTACCATGAATTACATTCTAAAGACTGCTGCAAATGAAAGCCTCTACCCTTTTGCTACAGTGTATGCTCTTTCAATGAAGCTCTTTGTACATGAAGAGAGCAACATATTTTTGGAAACTTTTTTTTTTTTTTTTATGGAATGGATCGCTTGTGAGAGCACAGCGGGCTGGTATCAACCATGTATGTGGGCTGACTGCTACTTTGACTCAATTTTGAGCATTTTGGGCCTGAAAGACAGCCACTTCTTTCTAAATCCAAAGTGGCTGTTTGTTCTGCACCGTCTTCAGTCCCAGCAGGAGTTTTATAAAAAGCTCCCCGAAATGCCATTTCAAGCTTTCGGCCTACGCATCTGTTTCACTGAAAGCGTTGGTTTTGTGTTGTGTAAGGGCACATACGTTTTTTTTGTTTTTGTTTTTCTTTCTTACGCATTCGCGAGACACAGAGAGTGAGACAGATAGGTGAGTATAGCTAAACTGCTGAGGCGGCGTATGCTGCACAGGCAGGTGTGATTTCAACATACGAGCCTCAAAAGTGGGCGCGTTCCTCTATGTGAAGAAAACCACACGATCAAAGTGTAGCGCAGTGAATCTAGTTCATAGACAAAGCCTTTTTTTTTTTGATCCTCTTTGTTCTGCCTTTCCACCTTTTTCCATCAAGTGATACAAACTCTTGTATTAGTTTTTTGTTTAAAATAGGTTTTATTGGGTTACTATTTTAGTCCTTTTTCTTAAAAAATACAACCCTATTGTAGTATCTGTGAGGCTTTGGGAGCTGTTCTCTTCTTGAAGCACTGGTTGTAAGTCGTTAGATGTGCTCCAGAAGCCCAGAGGCAGCGCCTCTTTTTTTTAAAATGATGATTTCATCAGTAAGGAACTCATACAGACACAGACTCTAGATTCACATACTGTACGGGGCCAATGGCAGACAAGGGACTACATGATGAATGAGACTGTTGTATTTAGGAGGACATTTGCTTCCACTGCTTTCCTTCAGCCTGACCCAGATAGGAAGGTTTACTTTGTCCTTCTTCAGACCTAAGTGAATAATTGGCATGAATATTTAACAGTTTCACATTTAGGACTGGACTGTGTTATGTGTGGCATCCTGGTTGACCTTAAAATTTGTGTTTCCTTTCCTGGTGAGTGTATCTTGTACTGCAGTAAGTTGTGAAATCTCTGAAAGCAACATGTACCTCCAACTGTTCTTTAAGACCTTGGTTTGTATGCAGCATTACCATTCCATGGATGCAGGGCATTATTATTTAAATTGCAGAATTTTAACAACTTAAACCAGTTGGTAAGCTTCAGAACTTGGGGATGTTCCCGTAAGCCAGATCTCCTTTGGCCTGAGCTAACACTTACCTCAGTAAATCCTCACACCAGCCAGCATCAGCACAAGCAACAATGCCTTCTCTCCAAGTAAGCTGGCTAAACAAAACACCTCCTTCAAACATGCTCTCACATCTGTTCCACAGGCAGTGGCCCCATCCAGCTGTGGCAATTTCTCCTGGAGTTGCTGACCGACAAGTCCTGCCAGTCCTTCATCAGCTGGACAGGCGACGGCTGGGAGTTTAAGCTCTCTGACCCAGATGAGGTGAGAGGCTGTGACCCTGTTGGTCACTGGCACACGAGATGGGAGGTCCTAAGTGTTTGGCCAGATGAAAAAGATGTCTTATTTGTGAAAACAGTTGCCTATTGTTTCTGACTTCAGTAATTGTGTAGTGTGGTACTTAGGCTGGTCTATCACGAGTAGGTCCAATTTAAATACAGTATAAACTATGTAGTACCTGGCAAAAGTACTTTTTTCATGTTTTGTCACATGACAATTCCAGTTTAAGCAATTAGGTTTAACTGGGGTTGTATGACAGACCAACTCAAAACTCTACATATTTGTAAACTGGAAGGAATTATGCATGTTTTCAAAATTATTAACAAAAACCTCCCAAGACATTCTGTGATATCTCTGCCTGTAAGCTAGACTTTTTGCAGCCAGTCCATTTTCCCATAGTTCCACCAATCTTCCCATTAACTCTGACCAGCTTCCTCTCCCATGTTAGGATAAAATGACACCCTCAGCATGATGCTACCACTCCACAAGATTCCCAACAGGGTGGTTTGTTTGGGGCTGTGCAGTATTGTTTTTCTGTAACTCTCTGCATTTCTAACTTTGGTTTTATGTGACCAGAGTTGGTCCACATTTTGCTATTCTGGACAACTGATCCAATGGAGCTGTAAATCTCTACAGCTCCACCAGCTTTGCTCTAATTAATGTTTCCTTTGTCATGTTTTGCAGCTCAGATGGACAACCATGTTAAATTACATGCAACTGGGCTGAATATACTAGGGAGTTTACTAGTTAAGGTTGTTATTTACCCTATAATATATTTATGGTTGTCACAATAAAAATATACAGCTCTGAAAAAAAAATGAAGAGACCACTTAAAATGATCAGTTTTTTTTCTGATTTTACTTTTTATAGGTATATTTTTGAGTAAAATGAACATCGTTCTTTTATTCTGCGAACTACTGATAACATGTCTCTGAAATTCCAAGCAAAAATGTAGTATTTATTTGCAGAAAAAAAGAAATGGTCATAATGATAAAACAGATGCGGTGCTTTCAGACCGCAAATGATGCAAAGAAAACAAGTTCATATTCATTTAGCGTCAGCAATAATAAGGAAGAGTTCGGAAATCAATAGTTGGTAGAATAACCATGAGGTTTCCAATGGGGTTCACTTTGTGTCGATCTATCATATAAAATCTTTATCAAATACAGAGGTTTGTGATTGTAAGGCAGCAAAATCTGAACTTTTTTTTTTTTTCATAAGTCACTTTATTTTATTTTTTTTCTTATTTCGATATGCTCTTTCTTTCTCTCTGTGCAGGTTGCCCGGAGGTGGGGCAAAAGGAAAAACAAGCCCAAGATGAATTATGAGAAACTGAGCCGTGGCTTGCGCTATTATTATGACAAGAACATCATCCACAAGACGTCTGGGAAGCGCTATGTCTACCGCTTTGTCTGTGACTTGAAAAGCTTGCTGGGCTACACACCCGAAGAGCTGCACGCAATGTTGGACGTAAAGCCTGACACAGACGAGTGAAAGCAGAACTGGCGAAAAGAGCAAAAAGAAACTTAGGACAAAAGTTGAGCTACTGGGACTGAGGCTCATAACGTTGTCTTAACTGTTTGATAAGAGTTGGTTATCCATTTTTCTGGGGGGACCGAAAAGTTTTTAATGACTCAGTGATGGTCTTTGTTGGATTTGAGCTCCAGTCTTTCAGACCACGTTTTAAAAGGAAGGCAGAAGCCAAAAAAAACAAAACCTGTATTCACAACCTGTTGGAAATGACGAGTGTGCATGAATGTGTGAGTGAGTGTGGGATTGCGCGCGCGTCTGACATAATACTGGTATTATTTAGCAGCTCAAGGTAAATGAGACGCTACTGGGTAGAATTATCAGGTTATCTTGTGTTCTGTTTATGTAGCAACGAGGGGGAGGCGAGAGCTCTGCGATACAAGGTGTGAATGAACGAAGTCGAGAAGGAGCCTTTTTAAAGTAACTTGTTTCATTTTTGAGTTAAGCAACAAGCAGGTGAAAGGTTCCTGCTGAGATAACAGTTGCCAAAATGTCAAAACGGAACAGATATTTACAACCATTATCACTGTTTCTCTCCTGCAAGTGGAGAGCTTTCAGCAAGGACCAAAAAAAAAAAAAAAGTGTAATGTAGGATTTGATGTTTGAGGACCATATGCTTGTGCCAGTATTATATTGTTAGAGCACCCGATTTAAGTCCACCAGGCCGATCACTGGGCAGAGTATTTTTGTCTTTAAGTGTTTCAAATTAGACTTCATCATTGAATGCCAAGTTACACTGTTCTGTTCTCATAGCAGAAATGTGCCGATTTGAGTCAGACAACACTAGAGACGCACTGGCCCTGTGCTCTATCAGGTTTGAAGAGCCTGTTGGAGATTACTCATACCCAAAGAGGTCTGCAAGACAACCGAAAGAAGCCGTTACTTTTGAAACTGACGCTTTCACCTTTATGTACATGTCGCCACCTTGTTAGGGACACATTCTGTGACTGAAACGTATGCGTTTTTTGCATAATGCCTCCAGTATTAGCAAACTGTAGACAATCTACGTGGGGAGAATCAGTAGACGTTGGTGCAAATTAGATGAACAATCTTGTCGGTTCACTGTCCACATCAACCAATCATTTTAATGATGTTTTAATAGTCCTGTCTGTCTGTCCTGTAAAAGTTATTATACCGATTGGCAGGTTTTTAACGCAGCCATAAGAATGTCAAATGTGGGTCAATTTTTGTTTGTTATGCAGAACATTTTGTCCATAAGAAAGGAACTAGAGTAGTGTGATGGTATAACGTAAGAAAAAATAGAAAGGCAATAGACAAATGTTGACTTTAGAGAACGGGAACCTGTTTGTTATGAATGAAGGTCATGGAAAGAAGTACGTGGATAGCGCAGGTGAATTATCACTTAGGCAACAGAAAGGGCACAAGTTGATTTGTGTGGCTCTTGCATGGCTGATGGCAGACTATTCAGATTGTAGTTTATGTGCGTTTTTAATCAATGATCAAAAATAATATATGCCTCAGAGAGTGTCGTATTCTAAGAGCACATTTATAACAATTCACTGGTTACATTTTAGGCAAATTGGCAGCGGCTTCCTCCCCAAACAGTGGGAACAGTGTCAGTACACTGGGAAATGCCAAAGTTGAATATTATCCTAAAATACTATGTTATTGTTTACAGTGGCTGAATGTTACCCATATGGATGGAAATAGCTTTGGAGATGTCTATTTGTACAGATTGTATTTCATAATGCTTTACTGAGACCCGGATTACACAAATAATCAGGAGACAAAGCAGGAATAATAACCAAAACTCATGTGAGGTCTTTCGGCTACGGTGCTTTGGGTGTCTACAGCGTTTGACATGGAGCAGAAATTTCTCATGTATTTGGAAAGTGTTGTCTTTTATCTTTTTTTTTTTTTTTTTAATATTTGTTAAGCAGACAGTTTTTGGACAAAGTCTTTGCCATTTCGGGTTTCCCCCACTGAGAGATGCTGTATTTGTTCTTCTTGTCTAACTGGTAAAACGCTCCATCGTTATCGAGCACTGACTCTCAAACCTGTGTTGCTTTTACAACAGAGAATTGGATCCTAAAAATGTATTAAACTGCACTGTATGTTATTTTCTTTCTACATGTTTCAAAACAGTGTTTATTATTTTGTGTGTTTTTTTTTTTTTTTGTTTTGTTTTTTTTTTTTACTTTTGTCATGATGTTCATAACAAAGGACAACTTTAATGCCTATAATGTTAATATTTTTTTTTAAAACGTGTTTTGTCAGGAACCATTCTGTTGTTCAATGTGGGAGACTACAATCTACTGCAGGACTTGTGTTATCAGTGACAAGAGCATACACACCAATATTTTGTGGCATATGCATATCTCAAAATGGATTTTAGAAGGAAAGCCTTATTGTTTTTTTAATGGATGTTATTCTTTTCTGTATATTTTATAGTGTCTTTGTATTTTTGTTATGAGATCATTTTTATTGTATTTAGTTCACAAACATTTGAATATTTTTCAATAATTTATATTTTATAAAAGACGAGAGACGCAGACAGCTGGTGCTTTCATGGGAATTTAAAAGGTAGCGCAGGACAAAAATAATGTAGCGGATTTTATTTCCAATTGTCTGTTTTGTTTTTTTGTTTTGTTTTTGTTCTTTTTTTTTTAATATCAAAAATAGACCTGTCTGCTTGAGGAAAAAAAGGCTGATGCTGGCCCATCAATGATTTCTGCTGGAAAGGTTTTATAAACTGTAGCTTCTATTTCTAAAATGTACTTAATGTACTTCAAAATGTTATAAAATATATGTGAAGAAAGACTTTAGCATTCTGTGTGGTGTGTTATTTAATTTATTCATCATTTATCTTTCATAGACAAGGTGTGGAACTTTGCAATCAGGTATTTTTTATTTATTTATTTATTTTTTTTTTGGAATGAGCTTAATTTCAATATATTTTGTGAGGGTTGTACTTGTTTGCATGTGTCAGATAATATCTATTATAACTTTTAACATTCGAGATTCCAACCAAAACATATCATTGGAGCAAGAAGGACAATAGTATTAACTTGAACCAGCTGAAGCTGTGACTCCAGAGTACAGAGTAGGAGGACATTGAAACATAAACTGACCACAGAGTGTCCCAGTTTTAACAAGTGTTTCTTACGTGTTGATAAGGTCATGTAAAAATGAAACCGACACATTGGGACTCATTCATGTTCTAGCAACCCCTCATATAAATTCCACCATAGATAGAAAACATGCAGAGCCGTGGCCTGCTGCCTCAGACTGCACAGATGTTTTGGCCCTTCACCAGCCGAGTAGAAACACATTCAGATCACCGTATCTTCATTATGAATGAAAAAGACAAAGCAGAATCAATATTTTAAAGGCTAAGATGACAAATTCGCACACTTCAAAAAATATATTAATTAATTCAGTATTTTACGTGTGTATGTATATTAGAACAACTGTGCTGCCTTCATTCCCAATATTCTCTTCTCAGTGCTTTTCTTGGCTGAGGGCAGGCTGAGGTTACCAGGTGGTTCTTCTCCTATTCCACCTCCTCGCTCTGACTGGGCTGATGATTGAAACCAGACATGACTGTTGGGCAGGTTTTAAAATACCCTCCCAGACAGTGCAAGCTCTAACAGTCCATTGTGATACCACTCATGCCCACCAGCTCCACATCCAAACACAGATTCAAAGCTGGGTCATGAAGAATCCACTTCCCCCAGCCCCGTCTGCCTTCGTAACCGCGTTTAAATCTTCCACCGATTTAACGAGATTTAAGACGGAGGCTTGCAAAGAGTAGAGGAAGTCTGAGCAGAAAGTGAGAACAGTCACAACTGACAGTCACAGAAAAATTACAGATAACTCTTTGCTGCTCCGTCCAAAAGGATCCTCCTCCATGTTCATCCATCCACAGGCCTCCGGATGGCTGACTGCATCTCGTTTGTCAGATTTCAAGGTTAAATATTTAGCGAAAGGGTCTTACCAAGCTATGTATGTTTTCTGTATGCATAGCACCGCTGGAACAGACAGAAGGAGAATACAAGACCTACTATAACCATATTGTAAAGGGATACAGGTTAAAATTCAGGGCCTAACACTCGTATTCAAGGAACAGGAGTACATCTATTTTCACTGCCTTAGATTACTATCCTCCTCATCAAAAGTCTATCTTTGTGACGCACAAGAGACAAAGTCAGTGGTTCCATTACGCAGACATGTTGTGAAATATGGACAATGTGTCTCAGAGGGCCCTCAAGGAGGGTAAGGCCAATGTAGACTCCAGTAGTGTCAGGGGATTAAGAGTTAGGTTTTGCATTACTCTCAAATGTGTACCAAGTTTGAAAGGAGCAAATAATCTTTTTTTTTTTTCTTCATGTTTATTAACTAAGCCCATTGTTGTAATCCGACTTCAGAACCGACATGCATTGAGTTTTCATACACTCCATTCAGCACATTTTTTTTTTTTTTTCACCAAATAAAGCAGAATTTGAGTGTAGAATAACTTATCGGATTGAATTGAATTGAACTGAATTTATACCATGTTAACTGAAAACTCTTTGGTATAAGAAACTGGCATATTTAACAAAGTAGCAGTTCCCTTAACAAAACTAATGTATAGTGTTGTAGTTGACTTGCGCCGATTTCTGTCAAACCAAATATTATGTCTGAAATTAAGGCATGCATCAGAAATGTTTTTTGCTCTCATTGAAATTGAGGTCAAGTTTGAAAATAATAAATGTTTCATGAGCAGCTGGTTTCAATGTTCTTGTTACATTTTTTTTTTTTTTTTTATTCTAACTGGAAATAACAGTAGCATATTAAAAGCAAATCTGACCCACTTGTCTGGGTTCCTAGAAGTGGGCAATTTACACACCTGATTCAAATAATTTAATCGTTTGTCTAAATAAGATATATCATTGTTCAGCTACTTTAAGCTGTGTTTTAAAGTATGTGTTACTTATTAAACAAGCACAGGCATATTTAAGTATACAGTATACTTAAGATTCAATGAAGAATTCACGAGAGCTAATCATTTCTAGAATCAAGCATTCACTTCATTAGTAACCATTGTAAGGTCTACTTTTTAGTGTTTAAGTAGGTAAAAGATACACACAAAAATGGTCTTTTCAGTTTTGGAAATTTGGGACTGGGTTTTAAGGCCTTTCCAAACTGACCCGTAGGAAAATGGATCTTGCTGGGGAACTCTAGAATCTGAGCTGTCTTCATGCACTCGTCAGGTGTGTGTTACATATAGCATCTGAAACAAGCAGGACACTGGACCACTAAGTACTAGATTTGACTACAGCTGTCCTAAAGTGTCCTAAAGTGCATGAAAAAACTCTGAAGAGATTTTAAGAAATAAATGATCCCATCCTTCGAAATAAGACACAAGGATCTTCCTGTTGAACCCACTACAAAATAAACAGACTATTTACAAGCTCATCAGTTATTTACAAAATGTGTTATTTCAAAACATTTGAGACGTAGCACTGTCTCTGTGTAGTCATACCCGGTCCTTCTCTTTCTCTGTGGCATTTATGGTATTGTTGTGTCTGCAAAGTGTTGAACTACTTGTCTTGGCAGGTGTGGTGGTTGTATTATCCAGGTTTATAGAGGGCAGATTCAGGGCATCTCCTGCTTTGGCTGCTAATTTGCATTTTTATTGCCGCTGTCACATCCTCAGTTAATACACCATTGACTTCCTGAGCCACCCCTGGACCACACTGCATCACCTTGCTATCCCACCCGAAATGAGAGTGCCTGCTGGCCCCTGGATCTACATTGGCTGGAGTTCGGGTACCATTCGACCTGGCATTCTTGGGCGGAAATGGAGTGTCCTCTCATGTTAATGTGGACTTTCCATTAGGAAAAGATGATTGATTTGTGTTGCACTGTTTCTGTGAATAGGAAATAGAACCATAGAATAGAGGAGAGCGATGAAGCTTTGTGAGCAGGTGAGGCCACATGCAAACTAGAGTGAGACTGAATCAGAG